GTTTTCTCCCATCCTATGGCAGGACTGAACCCTACCGCTGGCCAGTCAGTCCTCTCAGGGACCAAGATGGGGCAGATCTGCTCCCCCTGGGGTACCAGTAGTAGGAACCACATCTCCCAAATCCTGTGATTAAGAGTCACATTCCGTCGATGCCTTTTTCTATAGTACACTAAGCTTCCACTAGAACAAATTTCTGGAAATAACCATAAACTCTAACCATAAGCTATCACTGATGTCAAGAAAAAGTAAGAAAAAATAAGTTTAATAATCAGAGACCTTAATAAGCCCAAAGAATAACAGTTCTGCCTAAAACAGCAGAAAATTCATCCCAAAGGCAGGCCTCCAGTGGTGCCTCTGCAGGCCTGGGCCACATGGGAGTCCTGTCTTAGATGACAAGGCCTTTTCAAGACTTTCGAAAAACAAGGTAATTATCACTCTTCCTGCTAGAGCTACTTGGTATTTGCTCAGACCTCCAAGGCCACGGTCAGAAGCCTGGGTAGCTCTAAAAAGAAAACAAACAAACAAACAATGGAATAATCACAGGGTGGGGACAGAACCAGTCAACCAGTGTTGACCCATATGGCTAAATTGTGAAAGAAATCACATCTGGACTAAAGTCAGCAGATGTCCAGTAAACATGCCACGGATAAGAAGGATTATGTGCGAATGTGGGCATCTGCTAAGGCTGGTCCTCGCCCCTTCTGTCCCTTCTCTTGTCAATCCTACAGGATTGACATGTCAGATAACAGGCTGACCCCACCCTTCCCATGGCGGCACCGTTCAGAAACCCTACATCACCTGTTAAATCCACTCTGCTTTCAGGGCTCTATTACCCAGCGGGTTTTCCCTTCTGAGTTCTCCTTCTAACCTCCGCTCGTGTATCCTCCCACCGGTGAGCTTCTAGCCCCCTGATGGTAAGTAAGCACCACAAGTGGTGGACCAACTTACTTTCCCGCATCCTCCCTGAAGTGCCGAGCAACGTGGCTTGGCCAAGGGAGACACTAAAACTTCTGTGGCTCGATTTGACTCAAAAGTCACTGAGAGAAGGGCAAAGTATGGGACTTTGGAATTTGAGTTGAGGCCATTCCAATAATTTTGGTAGAAATTATTGGAAACTCTCACACGAGGTCATGCAAATCCTCTTTCTATGAGACTGTGTATTTCCAACTTTATACTGTGCCTATGGTGCTGTATGACAATCACTATCACAGGGTTCAAAACAAGTCTCCCCAAATATGCCACTTTGGCATGAGGATTATTTTGAGCTAAAGGCAATTGAAACCCAGCAGATTCAGAAAAAGATCTTTCCCTCCCCGCTCAACTGCCCGATTTTACGTTGGAAAGAGCACCTACAGCAGGAAGACAGCCATTACCAGAGATTCCTTTTTACCTACGGATTACTCGCATGTCAGCACAACCTTTGTTTTCAAACATCTCCCCTGCCTCCCTGTGAATGGCCCTTCCTTCCCACTGTATCTCCAGACCCCCCTATACTTTTCCTTAGCTCAGGATGTTACATCAGCCTCAGTGGCCTGGCTGCCCTTTGTGGCTCATATCTTTATGGGGCCCTTGTACGTTCATAATTAAATTTGTTTTTCCTCCTGTTACTCGGTCGTGTCATTTTGTTTGGCCAACCAAAGAACCTAAAAGGGAAGAAGAGGAAAACCTCCCACCCCTACAGCCTGAAGCAGTTCCACGGGGGCACGAGAAACGGGTTCCACGTGGTGGGAGGCTCGCACCTAACCAAGGCCATGGCCAGTCCCTTCACAGGACTTTCCAGTTCATTTGTCTTATTACGCATTACACATAAAAGTCAGTTTACTGTATGCTAAGTCATCATTTTATGTATCTTCGACAGTGGTTGTTAAACTATTCCTTCATTTGTGATTAAATATGATGATGAGACTAGAACTCAAGAAGAGAGGAAGGTGCTTCTTCAACAGGTGGCCCTTCACATGAGACCTACGGATCAAGGTCATTGATTCTGACCTAAAAGTGTGGTTTTCAACACCCTCCTTGGGCTGAAATCAAAGAAACCAGTGATGATGTGGTGAAGGACTCGCCTTCCAATAACCACCTCACTGGAATCTCGAGGCTCGAGAACTATAAAACATGCAACATATCGTGATTCGGGCACAGAGGGGTGTGCACCTTGAAATGCACACTACCAGAAAAATCTGCACGTGGAGCAGGTTGTTCTTTAGAGTGAGATACTGACTCTAACAGCACCCAGGGCCCCAGCGTTTCCAAAAAGGATTCACATTCGAAACCAGACAAGTACATGGGACAAGGCAACAGTAAAAATACAAAACAAAAAACAAACATAGTAAGTCCCAGATAAGGATGTCAAAGAGAGAGGAAGCATGACTCACTTACTATACCCAAGTATTGGCATAACTTCCTAACCTAAGTACAGGGTCTACCCAGATGGTTAAGATAAATACTTCTTTTTGTCACCAATTAACTGCTTTTGTTGTCAACATCATCCTTCAAGTAGGAGGACTGTATATATTCTGCCCAGAACTGTGTTTATAATTATCCTCAGATTCATTGTTCGCCCTCCAGCCTCTGGTTCTACCCAGCGTGGATGGTGTGGCTTACCATCTGTGACAATGACTTCTTCCTCCTGGCCAGTCAGGGCTTCCTCCTGGACGCTGAGTTCTCCTTGCTCAGCTAAGCCATTGACAGTGGACAGCTGACCATTCTTCTGCAGCAGCTATGGGGAAGACAAAACTTAATTTCAGTCTTCACGGCCAAGTTAGAAATGCTGTAACTTCAAGAATGTAAGTCATTTAGAGGAGAAATACAGAAAAATAGAGGGCCAGTGACAAAGAAGACTTAAGTCTTTTATACATCTGGATGATCCAGCTACTTTACAAAAGGTACAAGGACCTATTATCGAGCAGATAAGACTTCATATCTAAGTAAAGTCAACACTATTCATTCATTCATCTGAACACCACTCATGACTTAAACACCCACCACTCCAGGCCTATCTGAGATATAACAAACAATGGATAAGTCAGGTGTGGTTCCCACCATGCTGAGCTTACAAACTACTATGGAAGGCAGACTTTTAAAAGTATTTACTTTAAAGTAATGTTTCCTTGTGATTAGACGCAGGTTATGCATATTTGACTAGAATATACATAAGTGACGATGTGTCCTGAAGGTAGAAGGCAGACAGTTAAACAAATAATTACTGACCTGCAGCTGTGGACACTGTCACGAAGCAGGAATACATAGAGCAAATTACAGTAAACAGTGGGCCCTAACCTAGGCTGGGGTGTGGAAAGGAAGTTAAGGTAAAACTAATGTCAAAGTTCCCCAGATGAGAGTGTATGAGAAAGGGGCAAAGGGGGTGCAGAAAAGGGGGCAAGTTAGAAGACCCCACGGTTCAAACGAAGGCCAGTGTATCTGAAGCCAGTGAACAAGGAGATATTTAATACGTGCTTTTACGAGTCATTGTTTTTTTCCATAAAAACATTACCAAAATGGTCATTTGCAATGTTCTCCATAGGACAACTTGTGCAATTGATGTTATCAGTTGCAAAAACAGCAGACACATAGACATGCCCCGACCGTCATTTTTTAAATCCTGAGGATATAGATAAAAAGTTTTAAGCTACATAAAAACAGCACGATAACCATCAGGAACCTGAGGAATTCAACGGTGCTTTACAGTTCGTATACATTCCTCATCTGTCTAAAAACCAACTTAGCAGGTGTCACTGTTTCCATTTCACAGATAAGGACACTGAGACTCAAAGTGATTGCAGAGAGTCCCACAGCTCAGCAATAAAGGCGGCCGCGGCCCAAAGGCCAGGGCTCACCACTGACTACTTCTGGGGACTTTCTACAACACTGCAAATTGTTGAAGGACCTGTGATTATGCCTTAAAGAGTCTTCCACAGCACCCAGACCTGCGGCTCCAAAGAAATCTCAAAGCTCAACACTCTGTCTGGCATCATTCCATGCTGCTGACAAGCCATCGGACCCTGCTGGCTACATCACTGACTTTAGTCAGTGCCTCGAAGGGACAGTGGGTTCAAGACAGTCAATCCAGAAGGCTTGAACTATGCTAGACTGATTTCACCTGGCTGTATCCTGCTCCCAGCAAAGCCGCCCTCCGACTGCATGAAATGCCGCTTGAAATACCCACCCTTTAATCCTTACACTACAGATGGAATGGCTGGCTTCGGCAGGCCCGTGCTGACTCTACTTATTAGACGGAATACTCAGATTACATTTCCACTTAAAGTCTTGTCTTACCAAAATATGAAAGATAGAACTTTTAAATGAAACCTAAAGACAAAAGCGAGAGAGGGGGGTTGATCTCTACAATGCGCATCAGCAAAATGTCTGTTCAATAGAGCATTTTAACCAAATATCACAAGTTATGCACACAGGTTAGACTTAGATTTGATTAATAATGGAAAAAAGAGCCAGGGGAGGAAAGGAGGCAACACATATTATTGTGGACTACACAGTAATCCAACCAATATTAAACTTAAAAAGCGTCGACATACACACCATCATATGGCAAACTAAATATTTGGCGAACATGAAAAAGCCATTCAATTTCAATGCAATAAACATTGGTCAGCTGTGCTCTCGGTTTAGGAAGCAAAACTCTGAAGTTTTAGAATTCTACAGAGTTTCTGTAATTCTTGAAAGATTTCTCATAAGTCTTTGTGAATTGTCAAATCCAGGATATCTTTGGCCAGAGCCTAACTGAGGACCCTTAAATATGAAAGATGTATAGGCCACAGGTACAAGCTTTCGTCTACTCTTTTAGAAATGTTACACGTATAGAATGAAGTATATTAGGTGATGTACAATGAGTCTTAGGAACTGAGATCAGCTGCTAGCCCTCTTTATATCTGAAGTGCAATCAGTAAGTTTGGATTAATCATTCCCAGTGACCGGAGGGCAACGGTCTCTACTCCAGAAAGGCCCTTGATGAATTAACTTCGATGACAATTTATGACAGTGACATTATTGAAACTGAGTTTTGAGCCTACTTTAGTACATATGTAGCTTGAGTCCAGCAAGTGTACCCAAGCTGTGACCCCATGGGTGACATCTCAAGTGAGCATTCAGAGCCCATGATATAACACTCCACACAAAAATGAGACTTGATTCCTAGTCATATTCAGATATTTCCACCATTCCGTAATTTATTAAAGCTGCTTTTGACAAAATCTCATGTGTTCCTGAGGATAGTTAATTCACCTTTTTCCATGACAAAAAAAAAAGTGATTTTTGTTTTCCTTTTCGCCAATCCCCAATCATCTAAATAATACATACTATTGCTAAGGGTTCAAGTGCCTCTGAGGGTTAATACATTAAAGTCACCTCAAGTCATAAGAAGCCTAACCCATGACTCCTTAACATTGGTTTAAGGACTTTCTGTCTTCTCTATGTGTGCATACATGCACATGGACATGCTTTTTAAAAAATGGAGAATACATGATTTTTTATAACCTAATTATTTCATATATTGTGGGTGCATTTCTTTATCACTAATCATAAACATATATTTGGCTTATCTTCATTCTCTCAAAAGTCATGTCATTTAAGATGGGAATTGAACTTCAACACAGTGAGAGCCAGAAGATTTGTTTGAAGCACAAATCCAGTGGGAAAAGGGTTTGTTTGAAGCACAAATCCAGTAGGAAAACCCTTTTCCCACTGGATTTGTGCTTCAAAAAGGGTAAACGATGCTTCTTTGAGCAAATCGAAACCCTAAAGGTTTTCAAGCTTATATCCTTTGAGTAGGTCAGCCAGAGTCTATTCCCGTAAAGTATTACCACATTACAACTAAATAAGCTTTGGGAGAGAAAAAAAAAAAGATCTCAAATTCTTCCAGCCACAATGTTTTCCTCTCATTTCTGTAAGAAAAACTGAGAATATCCAAAATGGTAGCCAAGGCATTGCAGAAAAACTACCAGAAGTCTTGGTTCCCCTTCCTTCTCCACAGGAGTAAGCAGGAGGAGTACCAAGCTCTTTAAAGAATGAACAAAACAGATGAGCTCTTGACAGCTGTCAGAATGTTGGGGAAGAGGAAGTGAGCCTGCAGAAGTAACTATCTGCATCACAGAAGTAATGCTCTCGGCTATACATTCTCCCTGGATGACAAACACAAGTGGGCGTGGCCTAGAGTCCTGCAGTCCACCTGGAGGACAAGGCTCCGAGCAGTGCAGTTCATCCCAACTACAGCGTCAGACCCCCGAGGAGCAGAACTGTTCATGTAACCAATAAGAAACCAGAATCTTGTGAATAGAACAAAAGATTAGAATAAAAAAGGTTATCTGGAAGGAATTTTAAATCCATGACAAGACCTGTAAAGAAAACTCTTCAATGTGTTTTTCTTCATTCCATATTTTGAAAGAAAAACTTTTAAAATGTCAAACAGAAGAATATGGAAATCGAGTAAAAATCAGTAACGTATGCAGGTATAGGTACGAGAATGTGAAATACACAATAATTTCTAATAGTATCAACCTTAAATGTGTTAGTAATACCAAAAGGAATGAGATAAAGCTAGACACACTGATGTAGGTCGATGTCCCCAGTTTAAGTGGAGAAAACGAAGCTGCTGTGAATGTTTGATTCCTTCGTGTTTACAACAAAATACCTCACGAATGGGGAGAGAGGGAGGAGCAGGGAAAGCGCCCACTCCAATGTTTGTATAGGCATTAAAAAAAGTCTGGATCACATATCCCAAACCTTTAATACTAGCTACCTCTGTGGAACTTCATTGTTTGGTTCTATCCCTCGGAGACGGGTTGGGAAGAGAGATAGTGTTTTTTTTTAACTCACTTTGTCATTACAAAGGTGAAAGATACGTTAAACCCTAAATTGATTCTAAGGTTACAAGCTTTCCCTGGCTTTCCAGGGTTCACAAATCTTTTCGGATCATCTGAGTCGATAGTCCAAACTGCCTTCATGGAGCGTCAACTCTTCTGTTCATATTATTTCCAAATGTGATTAGCACATTCATGTCCTCAGCCAAGCCATTAATCAAACACACTGACATAGACAGAGGGGAGGATATAACCAGAGGCTCCCAATATATTGGGATACATGATACATGTATTATGTTCCCATTTCACAAATATTCGCTTTACATACATTTGCTAATTTAATCCTCCATCTTAAGGAAGCTACTGCTATCATCATTCCCGCTTTAAAGCCAAGAAAGCAGAGCACTGAATACTTCTGTAATCACAGTGACACAGGCATGAAGCGATGAGGCTGGGACTCAACCAAGGTGATCTGAGCTGCAGGCACACCTCAAAATTCTGCCTCAGGGCAGAGAGGCTTAAGAGCAGAGTCACTAAATTAGGAAACAACTGGTCAACCCATTTCACAAAAATGGCAGGAGCTGTAAGAATATAAGTCTAAGTCATTGTGACAACACCGACCAGCCTATGTTAGATTTTCCCTCTCATATCCCTCTGGCTGTCATTTCCAGAACACTAACAGAATTATTTATGGGTTTCAAAAAGTGTAGAAAATGTAACTGAAAAAGCTGTTTTAAAAAGTAACTGTTTTTATTTCAAAATAATCTAAGCAGAAATCTTTGTAAAATCCAAGTCTAAATAGGGCATAAAACTTTAGGACAGAGAGCAAGCAAGGTACAGAAGAGGGGATATATTAACTAAATGAAATTGATCGGATTCCTACAGTTCAGGTCACTGCAAAAAACAAACCATAAAACAAAACAAAATTAAAAAAAAAAAACTCATAGGAAGAAAAGCAAAAGATAAACAAAGAAATTAACTTAAAAAAACAAGTAATTGTAAATACCCGAACTTTGAGAGATGTTACAGCATATATCGTAGGCGTTAAAAATTGTACCTACAAAGCCTACGTAACGGTGTAGAGAAGTATTTTATGTAGTAATATTAAATTTAAAAAGCAAACTAAATGATTATATATTATATCACAATATACCAAATTATCATTAGGGAGGGAACCGTGAATATTTGATACCTTTTATTTCTCTACTTTTCTGTGTTCTAGTCTTTATCTAAATTACATAATTACTTTTGCAACTGGCAGACAGAGCTTTTCCTGGGTAAATCATTTCTTTTTAGTTTATTTTTAGTATGTACAGGAATCAGTTCAGAAAATATTGCTTTTAGAGTGAAGTATCTTAATTCTAATTTCTACCCATCCCGTGAATTTTCATGGGAAAACAGAACTGCTTTAAGATAGAAACAGTGAAATCATATTTTAGGCGCTTTTTCATATGAATCAACCCATATTCACTCAAATCTGGATGACCTGGGCTCAGAAGCAAAGTGAGGGGGGTAGGTGCTCTGGGGCAGGATAAAATACTTCAAATCTGCTATTTTACAACTGTACTGTCATGTCGCAAGCTGAACCTTGGTACTTTCTGGCCAGCAAACAGGAAGTAACTGGGAGAGCAGGGACTTAATTTGATCTGTGGCCTTGGGCTCCTTATTTAGCCTCTCATACCCTCCCTTTCTCTATAAACCGGGGAAAGAATTCATTTTTATCTACCTGAACGAATATTTGGAATATCACCCGACACACGGTACATTTTTAATATCAACTATTAACATCAGCTTTAGCTATTTTTGTTGTACCATTTGCTTCTGACAACTGCAATCTAATGGGAATGACTTGGCCCATCTTTCTTTCCCTTCTAGAATGAGAACTCCAAGAGTTCTAGCCTGCATACAACAGAACACCTGGTGCAAAGACTTCCGATCCTTCTTTGGTGCTAATGGTCAGGGGAAGAGAAAAGGGGCAAGGTGGTACATACAAAGGTCTAAATGGAGAAGAGCCACCTGAGTTTTTCTTTTCTTTTTTCTTTCTTTCTTTCTTTCTTTCTTTTTTTAACCAGCAGACAGAGGGCGGCATGCAGAAGAGCTGGGTTTGAGCCCAAGCTCCCATTAGCCACGGAACCTTACTCTGAGCTCATACAGAGGGCGGCATGCACAAGAGCTGGGTTTGAGCCCAGGCTCCCATTAGCCACGGAACCTTACTCTGAGCTCATTTCCCCAATTATAGATTGGAACTAATACCATCTCTGTTTTGGGATGGTTTGTGATTCAAAGGAAATAACATTTGGGAAAGTTGCCTCTCTAACTTGCAAAGCACTCAGCAGCCTTTTATGAGTCTCCGTCCACTTGATTAAATCAAGGCATATGTTCTATTCCAGCATTTTTCCAGCCCTTAGATCACACTAAGGTCACCTTTCATAAATTGTCTTCATGTCTATGTTGAGGAGGGCTCTGAAGGAGTCAGCATGAGATCTGAGACAAAGGAATCTAACAAAATTAGACACAGCTTTGTATGTGTAACACGTCTCACTACATCGATCACACGCACTAAACAAGGTTGCAGCTCAAAGGTGGCAGGCTATGGCTACGTTAAAATGGCTGTGACCTTGGAACAGACTTGTCAGAAGAAAAGGAAAGAATGGCTGAAAAGATGTAGCCTCTTCTGCCTGGGCTTCCGGGTTGGTTTGACCCTCAGGTAGCAAGACTAACTTATCCTCCTGTGGGAATGGGACTGTTAATGGCACCCCCCAACACACACACACGCACACACGCACCCAGGCACACAGAGCTGCACAGGACCTGTTAGTAAGCCCATCCATCAAAACCGTTTCAAAAGTTAGCCGTCTTTATGGCTGAAGACTTATTTTATACAAGTCCATAGCTATAGCTCCAAACAGTATATTCACTTTAGAACCAGACTGTCGAAAAAGCAAACATCCAGACAATGATAAAAATGTTTCATATCTCCCCTTTTATTGAAAACGAATATGTTTTTAAACTTTTAGAAATAGGCAGAAAATAAAATGGAAGCTAAATTTGGAAGCTGATTACTTAATCAGTAATCCATATTTATAAGAATTTTAGATTGTCAACAGCCCTAATTTCTGTGAGCAAACTGGGTTGAATTCTTTAGTCCCTCTATGATTCCTCTAAATAGCCATGCTTTCCAACAAGATAGGTTTAAGATGCTATGTCTCAGTATGAAACCATGCTGCCACAAGGACAGACCACTTCTGCAATGCAGAAATAAACCTTATGGAAACATTAGTATTAAAATATTTTTTAAAGGTTTAAAATTCTAAAAAATTGTTAATTCTATACAGTAATATGGTTATGTTATTTTATAGAGTCTTCGACTGTTAGAGATTATAACGATGGCTCTATGGATGACATCTGGTATATGTTCTAAAATAAGCAAATAAAATTTAAAAATTAGACAATTTTGGTAAAATGTTGACTATAGTTGGGGCTTGGACACGGGTACATGGGTATTTGTTATATTATTCTCCACTTTTGTGTATGTTTTGAAATTTTCCAGAATTAAAAGGAAAATAAGTTTTCTTTAGTGAAGCTTCTTACGGCGTTTAACTTTAAGGTACAGTCAATAAAATCTGTGGAGCCAAGAAAACTTCAATGCGGTCAACAAAATTTTAATTTTTTGTTTTAAAGAATAAAATGTTTTATTCCTTAGTAATGATCTTATTTCTAATTAGTTCAAGATATATAGTAAGCAGTGCTATGGCAATCCTTATATAGTAAGGAAGATGTATTTCTATTCCATGAATTTAAAAAAAGATTTAATGCAATCCAGGAAAGAAAAATATGAGAACTTTTAACTTGCAAGGCTTTTCAAAGGGAGAGAATATGAACTGCTTATCAAGTTTCAGAGGCGTTGTCAACACGTTGAGCCAAAGGCGCTCTCAAACCACATGAAACTGAGATGAGTATGCACCCCCAGTCAGGAGTCATTGTAGCGACCTCTAAATATAAGAAGTCCTTATCTCTGAGAAGTCGACCTTTAGGGATCTCTTTCTGAATCCAATTTTCCTCCTGAAAGAGATGACAGACCCTCCAGTAAGTGTGGCATCCGTCCCACCTCTTCAAACACTCATGCCCTGAGGCCCCTGTCCTTTAAATAAAACCTCTGCTTGTTTTTAATTTCATGCTACTTCTTTCCACTCAGATGATCAGCAAAAACAAAACCAGCAAACTAAAACTATGCACTTACTGAGTGGGGACATTACTTTAAACACGACAGCGTTGACTGGCAGGACCCAGAAAACAGGGCGGGCATCTTATCGCCATCATCCAGAGTCAATGTGGCTCCCTTTCCTCCGGTCTGGACCCTGTGTGTAGCACCATTTTATCTTGCAGGTATTTAATTGTGAGATCTGTCTGAGAGACCACAGTGCTGCTCAACTAGACAACCCTGTGCAAGTATAAAATACTCACCAAAAGGCAACATTTAACCAAGTTCATACTTGCGTGGCTTAGAACCCTTTTGTTGAGTTCCATTATTTTAATTAAATCCTAGTGGAAAAAAAAATCCTAACGTTCAGAATGCAAAGATTAACCTTATTTCGCCTTTGAAATTGCAATGCTCACTATTTAAGAAAAGTTTCTGGAATAGTATCTGCACAGCACATGCCACCTGGTGAGGGCGTATACACCAAATGGAGAGTCTCATTACTGTCTACAAATCCCTGTTTCCTGTTTCTCATAATTTTCAATAAAATTTGTGAAAATTACTTAATGGTAGTTTTAGAACGGATAACTCACTCCTCCAGACGAGAGAAAGAATGAAAGCTAAGAGACATCTACTGCAATCACTAGTTTGCGTTTGGCATGCAAAATTAATTTACAATTCAACTGGATGCTAATAGTCAAATAGTTGAGTGTCTTAGAAAATAATATCTCATATTGTTTACTTAAAGCCCAAAGAACTTGGCCACGACCGGTGAACTCATTTTATTAAATATGAGTTAGGCCTCTAAATTTCAAAGAGCAGCTTTTTTCAAACTTGTATGCAAGAATATGGGTCATATACCAGGTGAACCAATACCATGATAGCAGGCATTATCTCAAAAGTATTCTCAAATCAGCTTGGGAAACTCTGATCTAGAAACAGTGAA